GCCAGCAGCTTGTAAGTCTTGCAGCATTTGTCGATTAACTTCTGATGTTCCTTTGACAGCTGAGGTCGCTTCATTTGCAAAAGGCAGAAGTGAGTTTCTTATCTCCTGCAAAACTTTATGATATGTTACAAATTTGGGAGGATTTCGACCTTGTCTAGGATCTTCAGATAACATTTTGCCCATGCTGTGATCAGCTTTAGCAGCATCGGAGGGTTTAGGTAAATTCCTGAGGCTCTCTCGTATTTCCTGTAGCATCTGCTGGCTGCTGCCAGTATAGTTACTGGCAGGAAAAGTTTTAGGCCTCATTTGCCTATAACCTTCTGGTTTCTCACTTCTCTTCATGAAAACATGTATATATGCAACCTCCACCAAGGACTTGCACACACCAGAATTCAAGGAAGACTGGCTGGTGTCAGAACTTGTGAAAGCAGTGGCTCTTCACTGTGAAACCTTGGTTCCTGTAGTGCTGGAGCTCATCACAACCCAAAACGGTATTTCTGCTAGCAAAATGAAACAAGAAAGAATCACATTATATATACAGCAGTAAAAAAAATTCACAATGTAGCTTTGGTGGCAGTGAAATGTTCACATGTAGCACTTCCTTCACAGATACTAAAAGCCCGCTAAGCAAATTCTTCAGGCAGCCTTTACTCAACCTAATTTATAAACTGTTTTGGACTTTCAGCAACAAACATTTTAGGTGCCTGAACAGTCCTGAATTGCAAAGGGCATGGACAAAGAGGAACTCCTCTGTATGGTGGACAAAGCTTTCAAGAGCAGATATGAACTGCTGCTGTGTGTGCTACCCCAGCACTGCTGCTTTGCCTCCGCTTTCCGCTGTGTCCTGTCCCCATTTGTCACCTACGTTCATTCTCTTCATCAACACCTTTATAGCCAAAAGTGCCAACTCTCCTACCCATTTAGCCAGGATATGGACCAAATACCCTTGCTGTTCAACAATTCTGACATCAAGCTCCACAAATAGATGGAGTACACCAGTAAGAGCACATAATTACAATGATTTTATCCATTCTTCAGCAGTCACATATGTAAAAAGTAAACACTTGCCTAGCTCACCACATGTGACTTTATGATTTCTTGTACCATCTGCCATTTAAATCTGTTTAAGGGTTCAGTTTTCTAGGGCTGTCATAGTCTCAGCTCGAGTCTCCTTGAATCAGGCTTTGTCAATAGTTGAGTAATTTTAAAATTTATTTTACATAAGGGAAGATGAGAGCAGGGGAAGAAACAAAGCAAATTGAATCAAATTTTTTTACTGTAAAATTGTTTAACAATTTAAGCATCAAATTTACTTAGCATAGCTATGACATTTGGTAAGGGAAACAGAAATTTCTGCCAAAAGCCAAATAAAAAACGTTTGCATTTTGAAGGCACTGACTCATCAGGGAAAGAGCCCTGTGCCTGCAGAGAACCCAAATCTCTGCATTCAGGCCGGGCACTAGTTAGTACTGCAACTGCTATGGCAAAGGATAGAGCAACCAGAGTGGAACATTGAAGAAGTTACAGAGCATTTGCCTCTTTAGAGTATCATGAAATAAAACTTTTTCAGTCTCTACTGCTTCACAGAGGAAGATCAGTTACTAAGATACTGCAAGATAAAAAAAATTAATATTTTAGCACTGTCTTTGCTTCAAAGGCAACTAAAATGGTAAAGCTCAACTCACACTTCAGCTTTACTATCATGCAATGTCTAACCAGCAATATTGAAATGTTCTTATTTTGTTTCTGTTTCTCAAAGTGTTAAAAATTTGCATTCCTTGTTTTCTGAAGGACTATTTTTGAGGATTCAGACATCTGCAAGTATCTTTTGTCTCTTAAAGAAGTACTGTGCTGATAAGTGCTTCTCATATTAGACATAAATTAAACAGTCTAATTAAAATCAATTATTAGACATAAATTAATAAATTAATTTATTAAACATAAATTAGACATAAATTTACACAGTCTACAAAAAAGTCACTCTTCATCCACGTTTCACTTCTATAATACTTGCACTGTCATAAAACAATCAATGATTCGGTGATTGAGGAAGAAAATGACAAGTTAATAGGAAGAAGAACCCGCAAACGACATAAATATTGTATAAATTAAAGATACATGCTACTGATATATAGATAAAACCTGAAAGCTGGGAAGTAATATATAAATGAGGACTGCAAAAAGAAACACAACGGACGCTCAATCCCATTCTCCTCTGAGACTCATTTAAGAAATAACAGAATTTCTCTTATAAAACTATCTGAATCTTAAGAGGTATAACTGCACTCACAAGCTTTCTTTGCCCTGTGATAGGTTTGAGACCTTAAATGAGTGTAATGGGGTAGTTATACTATTTTTTCATATGGTCCAATACCATGTAATTCTTCAGTGCTCACTGAATAAGGACAAGATCATCAGACAATTCAGTGAGTGAATTGTGATAATTAACAGCGAAGTTTTGATCCAAGTATTAAGAAATTCAGAAATCAGCTGAAAGTACAGCATGAGCACAATTAAAATATAATGTAATTTTGGCCACTTTCAAAATCATTTTCAAAACATGCTGTACTTAAGATCACATTAAAAATACTTTGCCAAAAACACTTTTTCCAAAGAAAGTGAAGTAAGTATGTTTAGACCATTGTACTAGTTTTGTTATGGATGTTCCTTTTCCTTTTAAGTGACCTTCTTCAAAAGAATACTTGTCAGAAACACAAGTGCAAGGTTATATGCCAGTAACGCTTGAAAGAATCACCACCTTCAGAAAAGTGAAACCTTCAGCACAAACTCGTCCCAGAACACAGGACAACAAGGCAAAATATCTTTAAGACTTAGTAATCTAAAATATTGTTCAAATTCAGTCAGGAGTAATGACTACTCCACCACTGGCAGCATAATCTAGGCAAAACCACTGGGTATTGTGTTACGCATACACCAATGAGCAGCGGAAAAAAGTGTCCATACATGAGTTATTGCTTTTAACAAATTCCAAAGGCCTGGAATTTAAAAGAAAATAGCTGTTTTACACCTACATATTTTACATATTTATCTGGTATTTCAATATTCATTTATGATTACACCTCGGATAGCTGAGATAGTCAAATCTAATACTCCTAAGAGAAATCAAGGTTAAATTAACAGTACACGTAAACCATAAATCAGGAGCAGCCTTGGAAAATAAAGCTGCACTTTCATTTACATTTTTAGCAGCAGCATAGCTTTAGCAGTGTAAACCAGCCAGGCCACTTATCTCCCACCACTTACCACTGACAGCATAATTGTTTGTAAGGCCATACAGTGTGAACCAAGCTAAGGAACTTACCCAAATAAACAGTAACTTTTTTTGGTGGGTTGTTTCTTTTGGCAGCACTTCTTTTGGGTATCAGGAGTTGATGTGCATGTGAAACTAAGTCTTAATTCTCAGAAATCAAACTAAATTGGTCCTCCAGAAAGCAAGATTTACTACAGTTCACCTTGCTCTATATGTGAACCTCAAAATTCACAAGTCACCTCCTCTAATAGACATTTGCACACATTTTAAAGCAAGAAAGTGTTGACTGCTGAATAAGAAATGGATTCCAGTTTTGTACTTCTAACTAGCAAACACCAACTGCATCCAAGGGAACCGATGTCTATTCCCCCTCGCAGTTTTGTGTCATTAAATGATTTGTTTGTTAATGCAGATGTCTTTGCTGATGCAACTCTCCACTTCCCTAAAGGAGTTTAAAAAATGATATCTTTAATTTATTTTCAAAATGTGGGGATAAAGCATTTTCTTCTACAGGTCAAACTGCAGGGGAAAAAAAACCAACTTGGTTTTTTTACACTATAATTATTAAAGACTGAATTTAAAAACAAGTGTTTGAATGAAAACTCAGAAGCATTCAAGGCCAGGTTGGATGTGGCTTGGAGCAACCTGGTCTAGTGGGAGGCAACCCTGCCCGCAACAGCGGGATTGGAACTGGATGATCTCCAAGTTCGCTTTCAACCCAAACCATTTTATGATTCGTGAACGGCTGCAAACAACTGTCAGTGACCTCCAAGATTTTCTAATGGAAAAATACACAGTTTTATAATGTAACTCTAGCATTTCTTATCTCCAAAAGTTTTGAATATAATTTAATTACTCATATTTACATGTAAGTATTGAATGTCACATATCAATCTATTTTGGTACCCTCTCTCATGTACCTATTCTAATATCTTATTTTATACATAATCACAACACTTTATTGCTAGGGAGAAAGAGAGCAATCAAGACTTTGGAAGTCATAAAATTAAGTTTGGAGGGGGGTTGGTTCAAACCAACAAAAGGAAGCTCTTCTTCAGGTAACAAGTCATCGAGCTCTAACAGTAATTTGCCAAAGGATGCACTTCCAGTGCTAAAAGTTTCCACAGAATGAGGAGAAAACTGGACCCTGAAATAGCACATAAACAGAACTACACACGGCCAGGGAAGCCTGAGCTGGAAGTGACCAGATGAACATTGTGCATTCGCTCGGCTTGTTTCATCTCTCACGCTCTGCCATCTCCTTCAACAGGATACAGCTCTTCTACGCACACGTATTCCTGGCAGCAGGAGTTACTGCAGGCGCACCTAACAGCGACTTTTGCGGCTAACACTACCAGGACCAACATTCTGAGGACCAAGGTGGCTCAGGCTAGCACCGAGGTCATTCCTGCAGCGCTGCAGGACCCAGCCTCCCAAGGACCACGCAGGCCAGGAGGGTTTCATCGTCGGGATGAGTACCCCGAACGTCCTGTTGGGACACCTGCGCTTCTCTCGCCCCTCCGGCCCCAGGCCGTGACCCGAGATCGCTCCTGCCACGGCCGCGTCCTGACAAGGGCTCAGAACCGCCCGGCCGGGCCGTGCCGGAGCGCGCTCGGTACCGCCCCCGTCCCGCCACCGCCCCCACCGCGACACCGCGGACCGTACCTGCGGCGAGAAGGCGGCGGCGGCAGCGCCCCGGGCGCCCGGAGCTCGGCCCCGCCCGCGCGGCCACGACCGGCCGCGGCCCTTCCCTCTCTCCCTCCCTCCGCCCGCCCCTCGGCGATGCCGCAGCGCCCGCTCGGTGCCTCCGCCAGCGCCCGCCGCCGCCTCGGGCCGCTCACTTCGGCGCCGCCATTTTGTCGGTGTCCCCGCCGCGGAGCCGCCCGGATATGGGCAGATCCCGGCCTGCCTCGCGCGGCTCCTGCCGCTCCCGGATGGAGCTGCGGCGGCTCCCGCCCGCCCCGGCGGGGAGCGGCAGCGCCTGTAACCCCTGCGAGCCCGCTCGGCGCAGCCACACACGGTACACACACAACACGCACCCCCCGCCGCTGCCGGGCGTCAGGCAATGCTTGTTGCTCCCGTGGCAGTGCCGAGGTCGATGGACAAATCCCGATCTCTTCAGGGGGGTGAAAAAGCTCTGACGAGCCTCCCGATCCGGCTACTGCCCGAACGATGGCCTCGTTACGGACCGACAGGAATGAACACCCACCGATTATCGCTCAGAGTCGCATCTCGACCGTTTCTTTCCATTTCATCCATTTAATTTCCATCTTTTGCATTTCAAACAAACCGAGAAGCAAAATTTAAGCTGCTCTAACGAGCCCCTTGGCATGTTCGTACGTTGCCCGATGAAGGAAGGACAGCCCTGTCACCCAGCTCCTGCAGCCAGACACAAGGAAATCGGATCAGGTAAGGTGTTCTTGCACAGCAGACCAAGGCCATTCTTGCAGATGTGAAGTAAAATACACTCTAAAGTGGTTATGGTGGAAAAATATCAGATAAAACCTTGTAAGTAACCTGTTGCTGCCCAAATCTTGAGGATTCTCTCCGTCCTTCAGATTGCATACCCAGGATCAGTCCAAGTGAGTTAGTTATTTACCTTTCTCCAAAGATGAGTGCAAGTACACCTGTTTGAATTAATTTAGTAACTCAGACCACTACTCTTGTGCAAAAGTTTTTATTAAAAAGAGAAAGGGTTCTTTGTAACAAAAGGTAGGTACAATGCTAATCATAAAATTGAAATTTTCCAAGATTTCAACAGACCAGACATGAAATTTTGACAAAGACTATGTCTCAAGTTTAGAAAGTCTTATTCTTACACCTGAAAACACAGCCAACACATCTGTCAAATATGACCTCTTAATTATAAAAACCACTTTTCAGTTGGTAAATTTACTGGTGCATTATCAGGTTTTAACATGCAGCACCCATGATAAAGCTGTATATAATGCAAAATAATGTTGCTAGAATGCTTAGATTCTTACAGAACCTTTCAGATTTCATAGCTTTAACAGTTTTCCTTCCAGTTCTCATGAACTAACATTAAAAGTTATGTTCCCCTAAATACATAAAAAAACCCCTCTGCTTAAAAAAACCCTCATGTCTCTCAGGTGACATAAAAAGAATTTCAAAGAACCCCATAGTTTTGCTTTAGAAATAATACTTGAAAAATATCTTTACAGGGAAAAATAAAAATCCAGGGTTTACCTTTTCTTCAGTTTTTATGCATGTGTGTATTATAGACATAACTTTACAGCAAAGATCTTGCCGTAGTGACTACTTTCCTCCTTATCCAAACAGGCAGCAGGGAAGAAATGGCATGTAAGCTTGCTCAGTTACCCATCCCAGAGTATGAATAGCGAGTGACAGCTGTCAGAATCTGAGGTACCTCACATTTCTTCTGCAGTACCAGGACCAAGCTGTAGGTCTCTCCCCCACCCGCCAGTAACAGACTAACGAGTAGCAATAACAGTGAACCTGACATTTCCCAGTAGTTCAAGTTGATCAGTACTTCAACGGGATACTGCAGTCATTTCATGCAAAAAGTTGTCTGTTCACATAAATAGCCTCTGCGTCAGTACCATATACTAGGCATGGTCCTAAAACATCTAAGCTATTCACAGACAAAGTCTGATTTGGAATTAAGTTGGTGATTTCCATGCGGTCTTTGGTAGGATCGTTGCTTAGCCAGGCACTTACTACAGACTGGTTAATGGTATTGTGGGAAAGATAGGTAGTACTTCTTCCTCCTGAAAGAAGGAAAGAGGGAAGAAAGGGGAAAAAAAGTTTCAATTTTGTTTATATATTCTCAGAATTTGAAGAAACATAGTAGATATGGGACAGACGTAATAGGAATATAATTTTACATTTAAGTCAGTTTTCAGATTAGTTATCAGATGTCATTTCTTTGGTCAATGAAGGAAAAAATAGCTTAAAAAAATCAAGTACTTAATTACAGAAACCTAGTACCAGCTCTGACCTCAGTTAAGACAAATACTTCACAACAGCTATGAACTCATCTCACCAGTGTAAGTACCTGCAAGTTTTTCTAGCCAGAAACTAAAGCAAGAACAGAAGAACAGAAGTCTGTTTATACAGTGTCTTGCTATTATTGGGGGTTTCAGCTTTGCTTCAGTAACACTTATTCCCTACTGTCCCTCCTCCCTACTTACTCTGCAGCAAGTGACATACCTGTACTTGACTTTGAAATTTTTCCATGTAATATTTTACATTTAAACTGAAGTATCACAGTTTGAGAACTGTCATTCAGCATAAAATTAACAGGTGTCTGAAGTGATGCTAAAGGGTTTATATTTCATATACCTGAAAACATGCAGAGTTTGAAACCAGTAATCAAGTAAACTTGAAATCAGTAATCCTATCTCTTCCATATATAAAACTTAACTTTGAGGCCAAAGTCAGCAGGTGACATCTGAAAGTTTCCCCACTGTTTACAGTCTGAAGTGACAAACACTTAGCAGTCTTTGTGATTATAATGTGAAATGTTTGTATTAAGTCAGTATCATAACTTTAAAATCCTGCCATAATGCAAAAGGATCCAGTTTCATTCATCGGAATTTGAATGAAATTATGACCTTGAATTGTAAATTCTTAATTCTACTGTCTCATTAACATATCAATTTTGTGGTATTCTAACTTTGTGTATCTCCCTCAGAGACTCAGTAATGTCATTGAGGCTGCCTCTGTGTCTTTTCTACAATACAGATGATTTTTAAGTGAACACAATCTCTCTTTGAAATCATAGCTGTGCCCTTTCACACATTGGTAAGAGTGTAGCACATTAAGAAAACCAAAACCAGACCACAAAAAACCCTCACACAACTGTTAGCCTTTTAAGTAGTTTTCCTCAAGTGCCTATCACTGCTTGCTTTCTAAGAAAAGAAACTAGGTTTTATTATTCTGTATTAGGATTGTGTTATTAATTGGGTCATGTAAGAACACTGACTGTCATGAACACTGACAAATTCAATGCAGACGGACTTCAAACATCCTTACCTTGATGAAGAAAAGATGGTTTTTCAGATACATTTGTGGAAGAATCCCAGTGCCAAAGTGATCCATCTTCAGAACATGTAAATAAGTGATCAGGGTTGGAGGGATGGAAGTGAACTTCCCACACTGGAAGTATCAAACAGAACCCTGTCAGAACCACTTCAGAACAAGTATCAAGTGCTTCAATCACTGCACTTTGGATAGTATGCTGTGGACATGCACTTACAAGAACCCATGCCCCCATCAAAACCTTCCATTCTTAAGTGTGTGAGGGTAGGAGACCCAAAGCCCCATGCTTAGTTATATGCTGCAGTTTTCCCTCCCCTGGGAGAGGGGTGGTAGGAGGGGTGGGGGAAAACCCCCCTACTTTCTTGCATTTTCAGTATTGCAAAAATTGCTAAAGGTTAAAGTCATATCTGAATTCAGGCATTCTGTATACCATCTGATGCCATCTTCCCTACTATTAAGTTTAAATCTGCACGCAGCATGCATTCCTTCCCAGCACGTTATTTTGTTTCTAGATACCACAACTGTGGAAAACACATTTAAATCAGTAAAACTTAACATCAAGAAATATTTTTACTCATTTAATACGATTGTAGCATCAAGTAAAGATATTTTCCACATAAAATGAATTGCTATCTTTTTTGTGTAAAGTTACTAGGAAAGTGAGCTGTTTCAGCATTGTGGAGGCACCAAATGGATGTGTACTAGCTTGAGTTTCCCCTTCTTCCTCATGTTTTCAAGTTTGTTAGCATCTGCATTCTTGTTTTACTCTATGTGCATAACACAGCATCAATTTCTATGACTCTTTATACACCTACCCTGCTAGAAACAATCATTCTGATCAAATGCATTTAAGGGCTCATTAAAGAATTGCTTACCAAGTCTAGTTTTAATTTAGAAAGAGTTGGCTTTTAGATAAGAACAGTCTCACATACAGAGAAGGAAGCCAACTGGGTGAAAACACATTGAGTAGTAGTAGGTATCCTGGGAAGAGTATAGAGGTGAAGGTTATGTAGGGATAGGGTGAGGAAGGCCAAGGGGAAGCTGGAACTGAACCTGGCAAGGGATGAAAAGAATAAAAGGAATGGCTTCTACAGGTATGTCAGCCAGAAAAGGAAGATCAAAGATGTTCCCCCCGATAAACAATGCTGGCAAACTGGTAACAACAGATAAAGAGAAGGCTGACATACTTGGTAACATTTTTTGCCTCAGTTTTCAATGGCAACCTCTCTTCCCACACCTCTCGAGTGAGTGGCCTGCAAGTTAGGGTCAGAGGGAGCAAAGTGCCTCCTACTGTAAGAGAAGCTCAGTTTTGTGACCACCTAAGGTACCTGAACGTACATAAATCTATGAGACCTGATGAGATGCATCCCAGAGTCCTGAGGGAATTGGCTGATGTAGTTGCCAAGCCACTCTTCATGATATTTGAAAAGTCATGACAGTCAAGTGAAGTCCCAGGTGACTGGAAAAAGGGAAAGATGGGTACAAACCCATGTTTAAAAAGGGTAGAAAGGAGGACCCTGAGAACAACTGACCTGTCAGCCTCAGCTCTGTGCCTGGGAAAAACATTCTAGATCCTCTTAGGTGCTGTGCTAAATCATGTGGAGGACAGAGAGGTGATTCAAGACAGCCAGCACAGCTTCACCAAGGGCAGGTCTCCTGCCCGACCAACCTAGTGCCCTGTGTCCTAGTGTCCACTGTATCAGTGGACAAGGGAAAGGCTACAGATGTCATTTATCTGGACTTCTGTGTATGGCCTTTCACACAATCTCCCACATCCTTCTAAATTGGAGAGACTGGGTAGACTGTTTAGTGGATGAGGAATTGGTTGGACACTCACATCCAGAGGCTAGTGGTTAACAGCTCTGCATCCAGATGGACATCAGTGACAAACTGCGTCCCATGGAGGTCCATACTGGGACGAGTGTTATTTAATATCTTCATCAATGACATAGACAAAGGAATCGAGTGCACCCTCAGCAAGTCTGCAGATGACACCAAGCTGAGTGGGGCAGCTGACACACCTGAAAGACAGGATGCCATCCAGAGGGACCTGGACAAGCTTGAGAAGTGGGCCCATGGGAATTTCATGAAGTACAAGGCCAAATGCAAGGTGCTACACCTGGGTCGGGGCAACCCCAGGTATCAATACAGGCTGGGGGATGAACAGATTGAGAGCAGCCCAGGGGAGAAGGACTTGAGGGTGTTGGTGGATGAGAGGCTGCACATGAGCCAGCAATGTCTGCTTGCAGCCCAGAAAGCCAAACATATCCTAGGCTGAGTCAAAAGCAGTGTGGCCAGCAGGTCAAAGGAAGTGATTCCCCCCCTCTACTCTGCCCTCATGAGACCCCACCTGGAGAGCTGCATCCAGCTCTGGGGCCCCCAACATAAGAAGGACATGGATCTGTTGGACCGAGTCCAGAGGAGGACCACAAAGACAGTCAGAGGGGAGGAGCACCTCTCCTATGAAGACAGGCTGAAAGAGTTGGGGTTTTTGAGCCTGGAGAAGGCTCTGGAAGACCTTACAGCAGCCTTCCAGTACCTAAAGGTAGTTTACAAGAGAGTTGAGAGGGACTTTTAACAAAGGCATGTAGTGATGGGACAAGGGGGAATGGCTTTAAATTGCCAGAGGGCAGGCTTAGAGTAGGTATTGGGAAGAAATTCTTTACTGTGAGGGTGGTGAGAAAAAGTGAGCTGGAACAGATTGCCCAGAGAAGTCGTGGATGCCTGTGACTGTTCAAGGCCAGGCTGGATGGGACTTGGAGCAGCCTGATCTAGTAGGAGGTGACCCTGCCCATGGCAGGTGGGTTGAAACGAGATGATCCTAAAGTCTCTTCCAACCCAAACCATTCTATGATTCTATGAAGAGGCAACTATGTGATTGTTTTCTACCATAGTTACAACAGCTTACCTTTTACAAAAAATAGAAACTTTTCTAAAATAACACCTTCTTCTCCCCCCTCCATTTCAGGTACTTACTTTCTGCTTCATGAGCATTTAGCAGGGACACTGGCATAGTACCCTGCCTGATGTCCCATATGCTCAGCATCCCATCCTGGCCCCCCGTGGCCACAATATGCTGCTGATTGGGATGCCTGTCCACACAGTGCAGTGGAACTCTGTCACCTGCCCTGCAAAGAGAAAAAACCAAAACAACCAAATAACCCAAACATGAATTCTTTATTTAGTTTGTGTTTTCTCCTTCTTAATCCCTAGGAGTGTTGACAAGTGAGGCACAGGTATCCATTGCAGCTTCAATTCCTGTAGCATCTGATCACCACAGGCTGAAGCCACATGACATCTACTGGAAACCAGAGGTATGGCAATAACATGAAGCTACAATCCGATGAGCATTAGATTCTGTGCCCTACGGTACACAGACATCTACATGGCATCTGACAGATTTACAGGAGTGAGGGTGCCTTGCATACACGTAATACTCTACGGATACCTACCATAAGATTACTGTGAAATGCATGTTATAATTACAGTTTCAACATATGCTAACAGTTACCAAGAGACACTGGGCACTGACAAAATCACTTACCTAAACCACAGCCTATTAACAGCAATGGGAATTATTACACAGACAACAACAGGATTTAAATCTAGCTCAGTTTGTTTTCTCACAGTATCTTATAAGGCACAAAGTTACCATTCAAATACATTCCAAATGCCAGAAACCTTATATTAGGCCTGTGGAGAAAAGCAGATGTAAAGTGTATATATATATAAATAGGGAAAGAGTTTTTGGTTGAGAGTTGGAATTTGTTTTCTTAAAAAAGAGCAAGTGTACAGGTGCAATAGTCCTTCAAGAATTAAACCATAAAACAGACCACCTAAACACAATGCTTAGTCACAACAGTGGTTCGGCCATTAAGCAGTCTGCTTTTGATTATTTAAATACCAAAGAAGTTAAAATCCTTTTAAAAAATCAGTGATATATCATCCCATTGTTAGGATGCTATCAGGAAAGATTTACATCAGATTATATAAAGTAGACATGCTTCTCAGTAAATATGTAAAAAAGTGGAGGTCTTACAAAGAAAATATTTGAGATGGCTCATTTCTTTGCTGTCTGAGGTCCCATATTTTTAACTGTCCAATTGAATTTACTGTCAAGATCTCAGTTGTGCGAAGGAAGGTCACTGCATGGAGCGTACTGCTGTCTGCATTGTCTGCAAGAGATGAGAAAAGCATTCAGGTAAACCTATGGAATGCTAATCTCCCCTTAATTACAACAAAATACCTCTGTATAGAAAACAGAAACACACTTACCACCTCTGCATTTTCAGCATGAGAGACAGATCGGTATCTGCAAATACCCTGTGAAAAAGGAGCCCTTGCTTCCTATATCAAACACTACTGAGACAAATCTGTAAGAAGCTGTGTTGATTAAGTTTGGTGCTTAGAGAACTCCTTGTTGATCCGTAAGATTTCTTTTTGCAGTTCCTTCAAGAGGAATCAACTCAGCCAAGTTTATGGTTTTCAACAGTTTTCTTTATATGCCTAGCACCTACTGACAGGAGGCAACTATGGAGCTTTTTATAATGGAGTTCTTCTGAACACAAGGAACAGTACTCTGACTGGGAACATTAAGCAGTTGTATACAGAAACACTTAATTTACCAACTTTTAGACCTTTTCCAAGAACTGTCAATGTGATATCAAGTTAAATCAGAGTTTGTTAAATCAGTGCTTGTTAATAACTAAATGGCAAAGTTCTTTTTTTTCCAGGTCCTTTTCTCCAGAGCTTCTTTTGGTCAGAGTAATTTAAAATGTTAAACAATTCACAGCATTGAGGTGAAACTTTTGAGGCCTTAGGAGAAAATGTAGACACCATTTTCTTTAATTCTGTTACTATATAGAAACTTCTCATCTTGATTATGATAGGGTAACATTTTTAAGTCTACTTTCACCTCAAATATTTTGAAATTCTTTGTGTAAGCCCATACAAAAAGACAACATAAGTGAATTATTATCTTTCTGAATAAGATAGTTGCCTCATTACAGATACTTGAGTGACTTTTCTGCTTTCTATTTAAATGAAAACTGAGGGGAAGAAAAAAAACCTCACCAAAACACTTTTAAAAACAAATGTTAGATTACTGAACAGTGAAGTTCTAAAGGATTTAAAATTTTATGACAGAGTAATACTAAGTGATTTAGCAATGATACATTTTTATAGCTCCAAAAGATTTTTACAGAATCTCTAACTTTGGAGATTTTTTCCTACCATAATTGACTACAAACGTATCAGCTTTCTATTATACTCTTAACGCCATTAAACAATAACAAAAATACCAAGGTATTCCTTTCCATATATTGAATGAGGTACAAGAGTTCTATCAGCTCAGCGCCTGTGAAATGTCAAGGTGTCATGGAATCGGGAACCAGTATGAAAGATTGCTTACACCATAGAACTCCATCCTGAAGAACCTGAGAGCATCTTCCAAGATGTTCTCTCTCCCCTCTCCAACTTTTACTGTAAAACCATCCATAGTACATAAATTTGTGCATGTGCTTTCCACCTAACTCCACATAAGCTTCATTTACGGGGTCATCGGTATGACAGACGTACTTATGTACCATTCCTAATTTACCCTACCCATTTTCCAAAGGACATTTCTCAGTTAACTCACATCTGATTTCTTAAATGCTTACGTGCCAGCAAATCTAAATGCAGTCTTCCCTGCAGCATAACACTATGCTATCATAGTGTTATGCTAACAGATAAAGCTATCACTACAAAGCAAACGTTTTCAAGTAGCACTATGAAGTGAGCACCAATAAAACTAGCAACTTGCATCCAGCACATTATTAAATCTGTATGTAAGCATCCAAGAAATTACCCAGAGAAAAATAATTTTGGGGGTTTTGACATTTGCTGCATGAGAATTCACAAAACACTCTACTCTATTAAACTTGTACCAGAACACTCTGTGTTGGTATCTGTGTATATGTAAAAATTTTCCAATAAAATAATGTTTTTAAATTAGTTAATGTCCTTGCCCCTCAAAAAGTCATAGAATCACGAATCACAGAGTCATTAAGGTCGGAAAAAACCTCTAAGATCATCGAGTTCAACTTTTGACCAAACACCACCATATTAATGAGACCATGGCACTAAGTGCCATGTCCAGTCATTTCTTGAATGCGTCCAGGGATGGTGACTCCATCACCTCCCTGGCCAGCCTGTTCCAGTATTTCCCATGAAGAAATTCTTCCCGATGTCCAACCTGAACCTCCCCTGGCGCAGCTTTAAACTATGTCCTCTTGTCACGTCACCAACTGCTTGAGAGAAGAGGCTGACCCTCACCTGGCTGATAAGAGAGTGATAAGGTCTCCCCCGAGATTGTTACTGTGTTTTGTGTGTACCTGATAATAAAATCTGGCTCATGCCTTGCTACTTTTTTTTTTAATATAGAAAAGTTTTCTACAGAAATTCTCAAGGAACTTCGGTAAAGGGCTGTATGCAATTAATAGGATTTATCTTGTGTGTATATACAGCCATGGACACACGAGTACACTGTCTGCCCAGAAATCCCAAAGTACTTCCTTCCTTAGTTGGCTTTATCACTGTGTAAATTCCTTTATCCACTGGAGGACAGGTTTTGCTTAAGAAGAAAGAAAGGGCTGTATCAAACTGAACCTTCAGAAATAAAATTTTGGTTTAGCAATGCCACTATCAAACATAGTGTTACCATCCTTTAAATTACTTCTGCTTTTAAGTTCAATTTCCGGCAGATGCTCCAAACTTGTATTCTGTTTTCACTATTCTAGCATGATAGAAGAGTTGGGAATAACCAGGTTTTGACATCTTGCTTCATCACATAATCTATTACTCTAGGGAATATGGAGCTTTTACACCAAGAGAGAAATGATCCCTTGGTATTATCACCATATTTGGCAGAAAAGTAGGGTACAAACAGTGGTTTCTGGTTCTTGCTGTTCCTTTAGACACAGACAAATAAATATTTTAGTATATGGACACCACAAGGGTCAATCTTAATACAAATAGTGAATTGAAGTGACCATTTCCATGGCCTCCAGTTATGAAGAACTTGGGAGACAATACCTCTTGAAACCTAGCTGTGTTTCATATATACTGGTATAGTATTTAACAATTCTAGGTGAAACAGAAACCTACAGAGAACGTTGGGCTTGAAGCTTCTCCATCAGCTAAAACATTAACTTAAATATACTTGAATAAATATAGAAATACATCTGAAATATGTTCAAGTATTTAAAGTCTGGAGAGATACCGCAATAGTCTGGAGCAAACGCATTCAGCTTGGAATACTGAAATCAATTATCAATTGACTTTTTTTTTTTGGTTATCATTTGAGAAGCTGAAAACCAAACAAACCCCTCCGAACTGTAGTAATTTGAACAGTTATTCGACATACCTATAGTTCTTACTGCATCTTTTTGGTCAGCTCTGAAGAGATTTATTCTACCATCTTCTCCAACAGTGACAATTTCTGGCTTGTTGCAGACGACTCCAGTACATGCTGCTCCACCACAAGATGTGTCTTGATCCACGTGATAATGGGCTCTCTCCCACCGGTGGTTGGCAGATAATGTCTAAGTAGTAACCAGACATGAAATTATGCTGTTAAATTATGAACCCTGCAGAACAAAGCTTCCAGACTACTCATGAAACCAGAAACAAGCTCCAGAAAAGCCATACCACCTCACAGGAATAAGAACCTCGTTTGCAAAGCCTAGCCATGATACAAAAAGGAATCAAGAAATCTAAATTTTCGTCAACTCTTAAGCACACAACCCTTCCGTGAAACATTATTTATCTCTTCTCTGAACCACCATTTTCACATGACCTAGAAATTAGAGAGAACACTATTTATGAACTGTAAAATGTCTTTGACTAGGCTGATGCCTTCAATCTTTCCCCAGGACAAGGGAAAAGACCTGAAACCTTTACAAAATATAAGGTCACATTTAGATTTTGATGGCAAAGAACTCAGTTTATTTTAGGTACCACACCAAACTATTAACAGACATCTGTCTTTATTGTGTCATTCAGAATACATAAGAAAAGTAATTATTTTCAGTGATTTATAATCAAAGCAAAAGACTACAGAGTTTGCATATCTTCCCTCACATGACACTCGTGAGAAGAAATTCAACATAAGTCATTTACTTCAAGAATGCAAAAACTCTAATAAGGCAGGTACAAGTCCATTAATACCCACTCCCCCAAAACAATCTAATCTCCTAAAGTATGTTTTCAGTGAATGGACTATTTGGTTACAGATGTACACTACAAGATACTCCAGTCTTACCCTGAAATCTACTTTATGTAGCATGTGTGTAAAATGCTTTTTTCTTTCCTTGTATGTATAAAGTCAAAGCTTATTCTAACACACTTATTAAAATAACTGATTTTGGTAGGCAGATGTTTCTTATGTTGAGATCAAAGTGAGCTGTATTACACAGAATAGCATCTTAAAGCCAATGCATGTTACATACCTGGTTATTTTGATGATGACGGAATATAGTTACGGTTCCTGTTGATGAGGCAACAACGATTCTCTCTTGATCCAAAAACTAAGGAGAGATAGTAAGTATGCTATTAGTCAATGTTAATACTAAGATGATAATTTTGATTTTTGAGTAACCTAAATTATTGGTAGATAGAGGGAAAAATAAAACAACCCCCCCCAAAAAACAACCCCACAAAGCCACAGCGGATGGCTTTTGCCCTTTTTCTTTGTAGGAGTTTTTTGGCCAATCTGAGCATTTGACAGCTCACTCTCACTTAACTTCTCCTAAGTAACAAGCCCTTAAAAAATACAGATCTATTCAACACTGCTATTTTACCTGCATGTCCATAACATCACCATTGTGCTGGATATCACACAGCAGGTGAGGTTCTCCATGATATTCACCATTGAGGCCCACATTTCCAAGGTCGTCCGCAGACCAAAAGGAGATCCTGTTATCCTGTACGGAAACGACACCACCACTTTTACCCGAAAATACTTTCGAAAGTATCGAACACTACGCCTCAGCCAGGGAAAGCGCCAAGCAGGCGGCTGGGCACCGCTCCTGACGAAGCCGCCGCCGGCCGGAGGAAAGCGCTCGCCCGGCGGGATAGAGCTGCCGGGCGGAGAGGCGGCCCCTCCACCTCCTCAGAGACACGACCACGGCACAGCCCGGCGAAGGGCGGGACCGCCGGGCCGGGAAGCGCTCACGGCGGCCCCGGCCCAGCGGCGGAGGCGCAGGGCACAGAGGCTGCGTGAGGTGCCCCCGCCGCCAGCCCCGCGCCCCGGCGGGAAGGTCGCGCCGCGCCTCCGGGCCCGCCCGGGCGGTACCTCGTTGTCCCAGGACCCGGTAGCAAAGACGTCGGGAGGCTGTAGGGAGGCGGCGGGCGGGGGCCGCCAGCGCGTCCGGCTGATCTTCTGCGACACGAACTTGGCGCTCACGTCCTCCATGGCCGCGCCCGCCGCGCGCTGCTCCCGCCCGCCCCGCGCCGCGCGCCCTCATTGGCTGCGGCGCGACGGCGAGCGCGGAGGGACAGGCGGGGGCGCGGCGGGGCGCGGGGGCGCGCGCGGGAGGGAAGGGGCCGGTGTGGCCGTGCTGGGGGAGTCGCCACAGCGGAGCGTATCGCCCCGGCGGCGTCTGCAGAATCGGGCTCGCAGAGGAGGAAATCGAGGAAGGAGCGAACGTGCTCCCTGTCTGCTCGGCTGGGCCGGCGGCCCCCAACGTGTTATGTGTCTGTGTCACCTTTGCATGACGTGCACCAGCTTCCGTTTTCTCAAAATAAGTGACTTGGACAGCAATTAAGCATCTCTGGTCTAGATTTGCTTTTAAATATGTCCTGGTTTCGGCTGGGATAGAGTTAATTTTCCTCCTGATCGCTGATACAGCGCTGTGTTTCAGATGTAGTATAAGAATGATGTGGATAACAGACTGATGTTTTAGTCGTGCTTACTCCAAGTCAAGGACTTCTCAGTCCGTGCTCTGCCAATGAGCAGGTGCACGGGAAGCTGGGAGGGAGCACGGCCAGGACAATTGACCTGAACTGGCTAAAGGGATATTCCGTATCATGGAACATCACTCTCAGTATAGAAACTGGGGAGAGTTGGCCATGAGGGACCAATTGCTGTCCAGGGATGGGCTATTTAATCGTTTTATTTCAATTACTGATGTTACTAAGAGATAAATTATTATTAACTCAACCTATGGGTTGAGTTTTACCTTTGTTTTATTCCAGTTGTCCTCGTCCCACCTTGGAGGCTGGGGTGGGGTGTATATGTGACCAAGTACTGCCTGGTACTTATTTGCTGGCTGGGGTTAAACCATGATAATATGTCCAAGTGACACACTCATTCCTCTGACAGATTCCTACCTGTACAGAAATAAATACAGTATTTTTTTTTTACCAAATAGCATGTTAAATCAAATGGGAGGACACAGGTACTTCCTTTCTAGTATTTCACTTGAGACCTAAACAACAATGCAGTAAAAGGTTCAGAGGTTAGCTGTAAAATGAACTAAAGGCTGACATAGCTATCTTCACAGTTGTCATTTCAGAGGATGAGATTATTTGTCCAGCCACTGCACTGCAGTAAGGGACTTTCTCATAAGCACTTTTACAATCTGATTTTCTGCTGCATTTTTTCTTGGTGCTGCTAATGCTGCCAGCTCTCAGAGGTTCTATCAGGTGGACTTAGCAGAGGCTTGGACAAAGTTTCACCTGTGTTATTGCAGTTTGCCTGCTAAGGCCATCTGTCAGATTTCTTCTATACAGCATTCTTGAGTTCTTCATCGAGTCTGTTATGGTGTTTTGTAATCCCTCAGATGTGATATGAAATGAATGATATTTTATATGCTTCATGCATCATTTGAATTTTCAGCTGAGATTAACTTTTTTTTCCATATTTACGTACAGCAGAATCCAACACTGAACGTATTCAAAAAGCTGGATTCTATTGTAGTCTACCATACTGCAAGCCTTAAAACAGCTTTGTT